CATCACAATCTTCTCTTCTCTCTCCTCTTCTCTTCTCTCTCCCCCTCCAAAAAACTATGCAATTCGAGGCTAGTTTTTTCATTAACAACCGATTCCCTTTTCCTTCTCCGGCACGGCGGCCGGGACTTGCTAGTCCTTCGCCATCAACCACCGTTTCATCCTATGAGACTCCTCTCATCCCCTTCACCGTCTCCTCTTCCCTTCGATAATCGTAATAATAATGGCGTCCTCCCTGTGTTATCCTCTCGTTTGATTTCATCCCATTCTCCTGCTTCTTCTCCTTCTCCTTCTCTGTTTGAGTTGTTATTAACAGATCCAACTTCTAAACCTACTGTCATTCTCCCTGTTCTTCCTCCTATTGCTGACGGTGTTTCTGATTTTGCGACTATCTGGTTTGTTTTTGGCATTCTTCTTCTTTCTCTTTTCGCTTTCGCTTTTATTTTCCATCTCCGGATTAGATCTCGTCAATTGCCTCATTTACAGAATTTTAATTCTCTTTGGGCTGTGCGATTGCTTCTCGTCTTATTCGCTGCACTTTGGGCTGTTAATGAAGTCATTCGTTTACCGTTTATTCGCCAGAAATATCTTTATCCGTTTTTGCCGTTGAATCAACAAGCGGAGATCTGTAAGGTTCATGTGGTTCTTTCATTAGGATTCTTCGAACCTGGGTTTTTAATTACTCTTCTTTTCTTGGTGAACGAGTCGATTAAGACGCAAAATCCTTTTCGGACTTGGGGGGTTGCGCTTGTTTGTTTAGCTTGTTCCCCGATTCTACTACTCCAATCGTTCTTCGTGTTTTTCTCTCCGTTGGAGGCACAGTTACCTACGTTTATGCACGCCACTTCTTACCTTTCCACGGACCATTTGGGAAATAAATCTGTGCTCTGTACCTATCCCTTGTTCAGTTGCGTTGTGTTTGGAGTATTCAGCATTGCTTATTCTTTAGCGTTTTTGCTGTCATGTTGGAGGGTGGTGGCGTTTGTGATCAACAAGAAGATTCGAGTACGGTTGAACATGCTTGCCACATCGTTCATGATATTGTTGCCGGTGCAGATTCTTTGCTTAGGATTGTCCCCATTGTGGCAGCCGGCAGAGCCTATACATGGATATGTCGTCCTAGCGATGGACCTTGCCGTTGCATGGTGCGTGGTGATCGGGGAGGTGATTTTGGTAATAAGGCCAATTGCAGATGCACTAGCTGCAGGTGGAGCATTTTGCCCATGGAGTCCTGGATGCAGGTCAGTTGTGGATTTACAATAGACACACCACATGTTAAATACTTTGGTTCCATACATAATGATCCCAAAAGAAGTTCATTTATATCCTTATATAGTTAGAAAATTATCTCTTATGTGCTTTAATCATTCATGACTGAAGTGTAATTATATAATTCACAATGATAAATAAAACGATAAATTTGGATATTTGCCGCGTGTGATCTAAACCTTCCTCAGCATGAGTAGACGCTGTAGGAACTATGTATGCACGTTATAATTTCTAAAGACATTACTGAACTAGGAGAGAGCTCTAATGTTTCCGCGAACTTGTAATTTTGCTTAACATACCATATATAGATTTGTAATAAAATTCTGAATATGAGAAATTGGCACTTGCAGGCCAGGGAAGACATGAATAATGGGAATTTATAGCGATGAGCAGAGGCCATGAAGGACATCATGGTCTTGTTCATATCGTTGTGTTTTTTTTTTTCTCAAGAGATGAGGGAGCCAATTTTTGACGATTTCAGTGTGTAAATGGTTGGTGATTTGGTTCATCAAGCATAGAGAGAGAGGGGTTATTTAGTAAGTTTATGATACGTTTTATTTATTACTCCTCGGAGGAAAAATGTGTCTACAACATTCGGTTTCATATTCAGCACTTTCTTCTTCTGCATCCCCTCTTCTACAATTGTACAAATCTTTTATTTTTTCTTCTTATACCATTTGCAAATATGTGTTAATAGTTTTACAAACACAAGTTACTGGTTTATTTTGAACTGAGTCATGATAGATTTCCTGAGATCCGATCTTGATCCTGACCCCAACCCAGGACCTGATTCCATCGCCATCGTCCCATTTGATCTGATACCTAGAATCTAGACCTGACCCAAATTGGGGCCCTATTCAAGACCTAAGACCCAACTCTCAACCCAAAGGTCGGTTCCTTGGTTGGGTCTTGATGAATTATGTAAATTCAAAATATTGTGGAATATTTCCTGCAAATGAGTAATCAGATTATTGAATTTTAGCTCGGATATTGAATTTCAAAGTATAGTGTTATTTACTCGTGAAAATATGGATTGACTCAGCTTTTCCCAGACTACTCTGTAGTGATCTTGTCAAGCAGATATTTTGGCCTTATTTTTTTTTATACTTAATGAGATTGGAATCTTAATAATTCAAATTCAGCTCACTAAAATTATTTGGTTTTTAGGTCTAAATCTTAGTCATTTAGATTCAGCCCATCAAGTTTATTTGGTTTTCTTTTTATTGTTTTTTAAAAAAGCATTTGAATGAATCTGTAAAGATCGAATTAAATCTGTAGGAGAGTCTTAACAACATTCAGTATTTCATGCGCTAGAAAAAAACCACGTCGACTCTCTCTCTCTCTCATTGGTGACTTTCTCTCTGTCTACGAACTTTCTCTCTCTTTTCTCAGTCAAACATCAATATATTTCCTCTTGGACTAGTAAATTTTCATAATCTTTTATAAGTAATTTCTTATATTAACATTTTCTTTGGGTTGTATTGATTTTTGTCAAGACTGTTGTTTGTAATAATATTTCTGGGTGTTTATGAAAAACTCAACATTTTTGAGTGAAAAAATAGCAGTCATGATTAAAACAACTATATATACATATATGTGATCTTATGAAATTTTAATTTGTTTAGGCCAAAAACACTGAAGACTGTTCTACAATGTTTTACAACAGGAGTTCATTATTGGAGTTCAATTTATATCTAATTTGTGAAAAAAATGATGAAACTCATAGTAATTCTTCATCACAATCTTCAGTTTTGGTTGAAAGAAAAATTTTGAAGAAGAAATTGATACAAAGATGAGTAATGCTTTGGACTTATTGATTAAAAAAATAGTGCACCTAGTTTTGAAGAATGCAAAGAAAAAATTAGATGAATTTGGATTGAAAGAATTATTATACAGTACAATTGTTAATATATTTTGTGAAAGTGACAACTACAAAAAAAAAGCATAGATGACTCTTAAGGTTCACAAAGTTTAGATAAAATGAGAGTTGTTTGATTTTTTTTTATGTGCTAAAATATATGTTAGGAAATTGATGATGCGAAATCTTCTTTATTATTTTTTTTGACTAGTATCTATCGTACTTATTAGACTTTTCAATATTATATTAAGCATGTGAATTTTTTTTCGCGATGTACTATCTTATAAGAAGATGTTTAGTTGAATTCTCAAAAGAAATAAGCTACAATAATTTTTTTATTTGATATATAATTTTTATTTGCATATCATGTAATATTTTTTAATCAATATAAACATTTAAAATATTATTTTTAATGAAAAGTAATATTTTTTTATTGAAATGAAAATTTTGTAATATCTTATTGATATAATGTTTGATTTCATATACAATTCAGATACTGAAAACAGACAATTTTATTTATTCAGTGTTCAGATCTAGAGACCACATCTTGATATTCATATGTGCATTTAGAGTTACATCTAGATCTTAATGCACATCTTAATATTCAGATTAAGACGTCTTACTCTTAATGAAAATAAATGAGGCCTAACTGAAATGTGCTCATTTTTCTTGAGATAAGTTCAAAGTAGAAGAAGAAAGTGTAAAGGCTTCGTAGATTAAAAAATAACTTTTAGTGACAATTAATTATTGAGAATAGTTTAATTGTCACTAAATATGATTTTCTGGGAATGCTAGTAATATTCTTTGTAAATATCCTAAAGATTACAGCGAATGGATCCATTGACAACTGACTAATTACCGTTAAAACTTTAACACTCTTTATTATTGTCTATGCATATTCTAGCGCACAGTACTAAAGATTTTAAGTTTTGAGATTCCTCAAGACACATTCAACTGCCTTCATATGTCTACAAGTCCAAATATGAGATGATGTGGTTTAGTAGACCATTTGTACTATAACAAAATATGCTTTTAGTGGCAATAAGTAAATTGCCACCAATTCATTATATAATTAATCTTTACTATTTCCAGTGGTTAATTTCAGCTTTCAGCTTCGCGCTTGTTAGAACCAGATGCAAGCAACTGCATCTGTACCTCACTTATGCTTGCTTGACCTTTTGGGACTTTGAGGAATTATCTAGCAAAATCATTGAACTCTGATATATATTGATAGAATAAACTGAAATTATCTAGCAAAATCATTGAACTTTGTTATGTATTTTGATAGAATAAACTTTCAGTGAGCAATAAATTCTACTCGCGAATCATTTCCGACCACATGTTCTTTTGTCAACCAAACAAAAGTGGGCTTCAGTTTTCAACCTTGTTATGTTTGTCCATGAAAACTCATCTTCTTTAGTTTGTACAAATGCAGTCTCTCTCAGTAGAGTCCAGCTGGTTTATTAGTTGACTAAAGTCTTAAACCACACATGTTCTATCTTTTATAAATTTAATGCACTTATTTCCCATCTAACACAACTTTTCCCTTCCATTCAGTCATTGAAGTTGTTGTAAATATAAGATTTAAGATGACAGGAACTCTAGCTAGCTAGCCCCTACAAAATTCAGCTCTTCTTTCTTATTCATAGACAATGAAAGTAGTACCAAAAATGAAGTTGCTAGATTGTCATTTTTATATTTCAGGATAGAGGGAAAATGACAGAGATATCAGTGTTGGATGCTTAATTAAGCTTAAATTAAGAATAATTAACTACTTAATGGAAGTATTACTGATCTTTATATACATATATATATCTGATTAGAAACTTGACTACTTACATATACAATCTCGTAAGGATTGGTTTTGACACTTGAATTATTCAATAATAATCCCTTCTCTTTTTAGGCTTTTATTGGAGATAACGATACGCTAGTCTAATTAACTATATATGCAATACATTCCACATTTTTGGTATATCATATAGAGTTGGAAAAAGACGGAGAGAGATGATCAGTAATCGGTTCATCAGAAAACGGAGAATTCCAATTGAGTAGTTCTTCCACCATTTGCATAGCAATTCTGTTTTCTTCGTCCAATGGTTTAGTAATGCCAAGTTCAGCATTCATATCCTGATGATCATGAGGCTTCTCCTCCTTCTTTCCAAGTTCGATTTTTGTTATCCAATTAGAACTTGAATGTTTCCCTGATGTTTTTTGCCACACTCCAATATGACAGTTGTCGTTATCGAGCCTCAGACAGGTCATGGAAGGTGCTGGATCCTTGCAACATTTCCTCAGCTTTGCATTCAGCATGCTACTAGACAGTGTTGATGAAGAAGTTAAAGGGAATTTAGTAGTGTCATTGTTGTTATCAGTACTCTCCTTCACAATTGGGAAGTTTGTTTTCGCAACTTGTCCACTCATCAAGATAGCTGCTTCATCATACGCTCTTGCTGCTTCCTCTGCTGTCTCAAATGTTCCTAACCATATCCTTTTCTTCCTATAAACAAAAACAACAAAAAAATCGACTCATCATGTACATACTAGAGAGCAAAGTTAAAAGACATTTTTATCGCACCAGCAAAGAAAGAATGTTGGTAAATCAATCAGTGTAGTTGTAGTTTTATGACTGAGTGAGAAAAACTTACAGCAGCGGATGGCGAATTTCAGAAACCCAAGAGCCCCACTGGCGTTGTCTGACACCTTTGAACTTCTTTGATTGTACCATGTTGTTAAGAGGGGGACAAATTTAAAAAAAGAAAAAAAAAAGTTGCAGAAGTTCAGGTAGACACAGAAATGAATGATGAAATGAGGGTTAGGTGAGAAGAATTAAAGCCATCACAGAAAGAGAAGATGGTGTCGGTTGAAGAGGAGGAAAAGCTTAATGATCGAATTTATAGAAAAGGTAAGTAGTTTATGTCTACAAATACTACATTACTGTTCACATTTAGTCGTCCTAAAAATACTGATTATCTAACATTGTCGGTTTCAATCTGAATATAATTAGATCGAGATGGACTATGATGATTCATGACACTAACGTAACGTGTTATTATATATAATTGTTTGTTGTGTAGATGATTGTGGGGGTTGGAGAGTGCAATAAAAGAGTTCACCTGCTCATCTATTGACTTGAAATGCAGGGGAGTAAATGTGAAAGTTATAGTACTTGATATATTAGGACAAAGTTGGAGTCTGGCTTTATTTGGAAAAAAAAAAGAAGAAGAAGATCGAAACGCGTTACTTCTCTCCATCTTTTTCAAACTCTACTGAACTTCTAACTTGAATTTTTGATCATCAATTAATACTCTTTTCAGAAAACCTAGTATGGATACAACTTTGACATTACTTAGTTGGAGTATTGTTAAGTTCCTAACTATATTTGGTTGGGGGGTAAACATAAGTAGAGGAAAAGAAGGAGGACTTTGATGTTTGTCACAATGATGATCACTTTGCTTTAATTTCTGGGAATTATCAAATTGTATTTGCATACAAGAGTTTGACCTGTCTTACAAAAGACGAAAAAACATTCAATGGAAGTGGTGTGAACTAAAGAAGAAGAAGAAGAAGAAGATAGTGTTCTTAGTTTGTTATTACTCCATCGATATTATAAAAGCTATAGCCGTTGGGAATTTTAGTAGCTCAGTTGGTTGGCTGGATGCATGAACTTTCACTTTGCTGGTGAGCGTTCGATTCCCTACATTATAATCTTCTATCATATTTTCCCTTCCTATACCTATTTGAAAAAAAGAAGCTATAATTGCATATGACATGACAATTGATAATCTTAACAACATTACTCATCTTGCTAGAGATAAGTACAAATACTAAAGCTTATTGTATAATTTTGCCAATATCATTAACTAATAAAAGTATGCTCTCTCTAACAAATTAAACTTTTAAATAAGATGATCACACAGTTCAACATACAATATCATTATTTGCATAGGTAGATGAGATGACAACACACTTCAACATACAATCACTACATAACAAATGATCTTTAACGGCAATAGCTCAATTGCCGCTAAATATGTATTTTTAGTGACAATTAGCATTCTTAGTATATGTTCCTAAAACCTTTAGCAATGTTGAATCTAATGACACTTAACTAATGCCGGTAAAGACGTTAGCACTTTTTATTAATGTGTCTATTTATTGCCACTAAAAGTTATTTTTGTTAAAGTGAACATCATTATTCGCATACGAAATAATATCAACATTTATGTGAAAAGACGGTCACACACTTCAACATACAATATCATTATTCACATGGGAAATAATATCAACCTTTATGTACTTACCTTATCATTTTTTTTCTTTTGATTTTGTGATAATAATGTGGATTGGTCTAAAGTCAAATTACGGGTTCACGTCTAAAAATTCTACTAAATATTAAATTACAAACTCAATCATTATGATTATTAGGAAAAATGGTCTGATATATCTATCAACTTTGTCATTTCAAGTTGATATACCTCTTATTATAAAAATGGCTCATATATAGTCATGTTGTTATATAAATGACTCAAATACCCTTATTATGTTTAATTAATACACTAAGGGATCGTTTGATTACGGTATAACTTACATTTTATTCATGTATGTTAAGTTATACTATGTTTGATGGAAATTTTTGTTTAGGTAGAAAAGTCAACATAACGTATACCATGTTTGGTTGCATTTTTGTAGTCCATAATTAATACCAATATAACTTATGTGGGAATCTATGTATAAATTTATGCAGGGTAGAAGGTGGAATATGTTATATGAGTATTAGTTACATTTATTAAAGTGATAAATTACATATTTTCCCTATTAATTTATTTTATTATTTTTAATTGGAAACTTTATTGTTTTCCTATATATAAGTTTGTTGTTTTTATTTTTTTTTATATTTAGACCATTTTTATTTGGGAAAAGAGTCAAATATGCCCTTAAACTATTCAAAAAGGTCTAGATATACCCTCTGTTTAAAGTTTGGTTCACTGATGCCCTCGCCATCCAACTTTTGGTCCAAATATGCCCTTATGGACGTTAGTTGCCATGTTGGACATATCCAACTCATTTTTTATTTCTTTAAATGCCACATGGAATTGCCATGTCATTTTGGCCTTACCACATAACATTTATATGAAAATGGAAAGATATTCAGACTCATAAACATCTAATCCGACCCATAAATCAACCCCTTTTAAATAAATTATCCGACCAATTTTCAACAATTTTGTTTTATTTTTTTTTGATAAATTTCGAAAATGAGTAATTGATAAATAAAAAAAATAGGAAAATATGAAAAAAGTATAAAATTAACGCCAAAAATTCATAAATAATTATAGTAACCTTAAATTCAATTTAAACACTTTTTTTATTTTTTTTATTTCTTTTAGATAAATCCCGAAATGAGTAATTGATTAATAAAAAATATGAAAAAAAATATAACATTAACGCAAAAATTAAAAAATAAATACAGTAACCTTAAATTCAACAATTTCAATATTTTTTTAATTTTTATTTTTTTTGACAAATCCCAAAAATGAGTTTATTAACAAAAAAATATAAAAATTACGCAAAAAATTCAGAAATAAAAAATAGGAATACATGAAGAAAAAAAAAAAAAAATTATTGAAATTATTGAATTTAAGTTAACTATATTTATTTGTGAATTTTGACGTATATTTTTTATTTTGTTTTCATATTTTTCCCTTTTATTAAAAAATTACTCATATTTGGGATTTGCCAAAAAATATAAAAAAAATTTAAAAAAATGTAGATTGAAATGTTACTATATTTATTTGTGAACTTTTGGTGTTAATTTATATTTTTTTCATACTTTTCATATTTTTTATTAATCAATTACTTATTTTCGAGATATATCGAAAACTAAAAATCTAAAAAAAATTTGAAATGTTAGATTTAAGGTTATTATATTTATTTGTGAATTTTTGGCGTTACTTTTATACTTTTTTCATATATTTTCTATTTTTATTAATCAATCACTCATTTTCGGGATTTATTGCAATAATAAAAATTAAACAAAATTGCTAAAAATGGGTCGGATAGTGAATTTAATAGGAGCTGATTTATGGGTCGGATTAGATGTTTATGAATCCGAATATCTTTCCATTTCATATAAATGTTATGTGATAAGGTCAAAATGATATCTCAATTCAATGTGGAATTTAAAGAAATGAAAAATGAGTTGGATATATCCAACATGACAACTAACGCCCATAAGGGCATATTTGGACCAAAAGTTGGACGGCGAGGGCATGAGTGAACCAAACTTTAAACGGAGGGTATATCTAGACCTTTTTAAATAGTTTAGGGGCATATTTGACCCTTTTCCCTTTTTATTTCTTGGAAGACTCTTGTATGTATGGTAACCCTCTCTTCCGCTACTGGTAGACTGTATTTTTTTTTAATTAGAAACTTTATTGTTTTCCATCAACATGTGTTGCTTTCATTTCTTATAATATATAGATTATTTTCATTTCTTTTTATATACTTACCATTTTGATTGATTTATGCAAATATAAATATTTTTATAATATTAGAAATTTATTTATATTTTTTAACGGTATATATTCTAATTAAATATTAGCATTATATATTATTCAATATATTTCATATTTTATTAGCATGTATTATTATTTTGCAAATAACATATATCAATAATTTACAACAAGTTTAATATTAAATAGTTAATAATTCATTTATTGTAATCTCTAAACCATGCACAACTAATACCTGCATAACTAAACTCTGCATAACTAATACCTACATTAACTAAACCTAGCATAACTAATACCTGCATAACTAAACCCTGCATAACTAATATCTGCATAACTCTAACCAGTAAACAAACAACCCCTAAATTGTCTAAATTCATCTATGGGGATCAAGAAGGAAAATGGAGATTGTAAGAATTGAATCAACCCTTTTTATGTTTAATTAATACACTAAATTGTCTACTACCCAAAAAGAAAATACACTAAATTGTAAACACTTCGTAATAAAAGTCGTTTACTCGGTCAAATGTAAGGTTCTTCATAATAATCTCTTAGATTAGTGATTAAAGTTCAAAATGCACCTATGCTCTAATCATATGGTGTTCGCAACAAATTTAAAATTGTAACGACCTGTTTAGTCATTTGGAGCAGCAGAGTTAATTTCTGAAAATCACTGTCTGGGTCGATGGATCCCACGACGGACCGTCATGGGCACGACGGACCGTCGAGGGTGTCTCGTTCCAAAACACTTAGAATTTAGAAATTTGGGTACTGAGATCGACTCTCTAAACTTCACAACGAAATGGCAGGACGGACCGTTGAGGGCTCGACGGACCGTCACAAATCCTTCCGCAGAATTAACTCTCTGAACTTTGTGACGGACGTGCAGGACGGACCGTCACAGTTGTGACGGACCGTCACAGGCTGCGTGACCCTGACTGGGTCGGATTTCTGTTAAATATTTTAAGGGGCGTTTTGGACTATTCCTGCTTATAATTATTAAGCTAGTGGTTTAATGTTAATAATTTAATTACTTGGGTGTTAAAAGAGAGAACCTTGAAACAAGTAGTGGAGTATTTTATCATCTTTTATACTTAATTATATGCTAATTAGGGTAAAAGAAAGAGGGTTTGAATAAGAAAAAGAAAAAGAACAGAGAGAGAGGGAGAAACGATCGATTGAGAGAGAGGAAGAACGAAGCTTTGGGAAAGTAGATTGCTTGATCGCAATTCTTCGGTGGAGGTAGGTTATGGTTTATGCTATTTCACAGTAAACTCTTAATAGTGAATGATATGTATTGGGTAGTAATGTAAAGTCTCCTATATTGCTTAATTGTGT